AAGTCAAGCAATTTGTTTTAACAAGCCCTCCACAAAATTTAGATACACGCTCAAGTTTGAGAAACACTGGACTAAAAATGAGTTCCCTAAAATCTAAACAACTGGCTGTATGTGGCTGAAAAACCACTGAAACTTTAGGCTTGTGTAGCACTTTGCAATTCAACACACTTTTCCACTTTACCTCTTGTGAGCTGCTTTAAACAACCCTGTAGAGTAACTAAAATAGTTTCAACACTTTGTAAATGAAACCGAAGCTCAGAATATTTAAGGGATTTGCTCACATAGAGAATACATCCAAATTTAGAGCCCAGATTTTCTAAGCCTTGCAAACTAACGGGCAGGACATTCAGAGAAGAACAGGGTAAATGGCTATAACCTATAAGTAATGGCCTGAAAAAAGCTCAAGTGATGACAGAGAGGAGGACCAGAAGACGTAGGCAACCTCATAGCAGGTGAGTCACAGACATTTGTACTTGGAGCTCTCAGAGACCACAGCAAAAGGCATTAATCTTATTTTGTCTGAGTTTGCTATGTAGAGTCAAGCTTTGAAAAACACAAATGATTAGCCCTCACCAACTGACTTAATGGTGAGTCAGGAACATTGGATTGTTCTCTTCACAATTCTACATATGTTACTCCAAATCAAATTACATAAAACAGAAAAGCTGCCTTTATTATGTATTGTGTGTGTATACATACTTATGTGTCCCATACTTACAGAAACACAAATGGTCATAATTTGCAATTTTCTTTTTTCCCTTCTATGTTTCTTGTGCCATACATGACAATAAATGATGCAATTAACAGGTGCATAAACATTCTTTAACAAAATGTATATAATATGCCATGTTCATAGATGATATATAGTATACTGTACTCTATTATTTATCAAACATATTTGATAAAGGATTTTATGGACAATGGATGATCTTTAAAAAATATCGGTGATAACCAACTAATTCTGATTATTTTTAGTGATTTAGCTTTAGAAAAAGAAAATTTCATAATTGCTACAAATTCTCCTAGTAGACCCATACCCACAGTTTGTTCTCAAAGAGTGAATTATAAGTAGTAGAAAATCACATATTGTGTCAAGTTTGTTTGAGTGTTGACACTTTATTAATGAATGTAGGCGTTTCAGATGCCTCATAGAAGAAAAACCATTCTTTTTCTTGAAATATGCACAAAATCTTTACATTTTACTGTCAAATAGTCACATTTTCTTTTGCTGTTTCTTCTTTCTTTCCATACTATAGAAGCAAACAAGGAAGCAAAGACCTAGGATTCCTAAAAACTAATAATTAACTATCCTTCAATTAACTAGTTTCCTTAGAAATCCCAAATACTTATTAAGTACATTAACATTTAAATGGGTAACATGCTATCATCATAAAAAGTATTATAATATCCTGCAAATATCAAATAGGGTCAGAACTATGAAACAAATAAAATTTCACTACCTCAAGTTTAGAATAATTACAATCATAATAGTGTGAAGTACCTGCATTTAGTCATATACACATTTATGTTTTATGTCCAGATATTCATGTGTATGTAAGTTTTATAAAGTTATCTTATTAACAAACACATGATAATATAATGTATTATGCAACTAGCATGGTTCTTTGGGATCAAGTACTTTATATTTTTTTCAGACATATGCTACTAATATTGAAAATATGGTCAGTAGGATTATTAAAAATGAAATTTTAAAGGTTGGCTTAGGTCACTCCCTATTTCCACTTTTCTTTGACCTATCAAGACAACAACATGGTCTCAACCTGTCCAGATTATGCAGGAGTTGAAACTCTAGGGGTACCTGTGTGTGAGGGTAGAGGATTGGAACAGCTAGTGTTAGAAACTCATCCAGTAATTGATGAACTCCTAAGGGAGGCTACTTCAGGATAAATTCCTGTGGATAAGTGTGTCTCACACTTTCCTGTGCATATTCATATTATGTTCATATAATATAAATGCAGATTCTTGTTCATTCCATCTAGGAAGGAGCCCCAGGTGCTGCAGCTGCCACTAAGATATGGATCACACTTTGATTCTTTGTCCTTGGGATGAAAGTTGGTTTGGTGGTTTTCTTTAGCTCTTTATACAATTTCTCATAAAGATCATGAATTTGCTCTAGGAAACAATTGGGTTAGGTATATACAGCTGAGGCTATCTTCCTTTCCCTCCAGTTTTGTTACCATAATGTATAATTTGGTTTTTTTTCTCCAGAAAGATAGAAATTATAGAGCAAGACCCCAAGACTAATGTACACTGTCCCATCATGATGCACAGTTATACCAAAGATCATAATTATACAAAAATGAACATTAATTCCCCAAAGAAACACTTGTTTCATAGAACATTTAAGGAAGTGAGAGTAAATCTTTTAGGTCCAGTCAACCAAACTCCTGTAATTGGACAACCAGAATTACAAACCTTCCTTGTCTCCTGTTGCCATTTTATATTATTCAGGGCCACAGACTCACTGAGAGAGGATATTTTTTCTTTCCAAGCCATTTCACTTTCTCAGTGCCAAACATCTACTGTGGCTTCCAATGAATCAAGTTCTCCTTCCTCTCCTCTCTTGGAAGCTCATGCACCCACTAAAATGTCACAAATAAAGTAGAAACACGCCTTTCCCAGGCTGGACTTGTAAACAGAAAGCAAGAGCACCATTCTTCACCAGGAAACTGACCCACAAAGCTTACTGGACTCAGTTAAAGAAATTGAGAAGAAGGTCAGCTAAGAAAACAAAGAGAATTCTCTCCATAGAGAATTCCACCACCCAAAAATGAACCTTAGTCCAAGGCAAAGAAATAAAAAGGAGGGCATGTAAGGTGAGGTCTGGGAAAGCAATGGACTCATTTGCATGCTCTGTTTGTCTATCCCAGGGAATAACTGGTTCTATGTTTATCCTCTTTTCTCACAACCCTTATTTCTACACTGTAATGTCAACCAAAGTGTAATGCTTTAAAAACTCCCTTTTTTGAGCCATCAAACACATATTAGTATGCAGTCAGACTGCCTCTCATAGACATAGACTTCTATGCATATATTATATGGAAATATAAGAATATCATTATTCTTCTGAATTAACATTTGCATGCTTATCTAACTTAAATAACTGTAGCTTAAGATATAGGTGATGCTGAATTAGAAATACCTTACAAAGTTCATGGACATTTAAATTAAAAAAATACATTCAGAATATTCACTGTTCTCATATTCAGTCTTATAATCAGTGAAAAAAAATTTCTAGGCATTGTATAAATTTATATAGAGTGCTTTGCCAGTAAAGGGTTAATGATGTTAGGGAGTTTGGATGTTAGCAGTTAAGATGGCATGCTTGTGTGTTTGCAAAAACATTTTCTGCATCATGTCCAAATCCCTTTGCAAACAGATAAATTACTCTATAAATCTTATTACTCCATGTGGATAAATCACACATGCAGGTTTACAAGGCTAGAGAGCTAGAAGGGAAAATCTGCTTTGGATAGTAGGATCTTTGGGATTCATAATCACCCAATGCTCAGGAAATGAAGAAAGGAGTTTCTTACACTTAGCATTTTTTTACTTTTTACAATCTGGAGCAACACATACACACAACACACCCACACACACACAACACACACTTTCTTCTCTAACAAGGGTAGGGATCCCAAAGCAGGACACTCTGTGACAGCCAACCAAATTTATTTCTGAGAAAAGGAAGGAAAACTTTGCTGCTGTCGGCACCTTTGCTAGAGAACTGCTCCCTGATGCCCCAGGGTTTATGCACTATCAGCTTCTTGCACACAGATTAGAGGTTTATTTTCTATAATATACTGTTTTTTTATTGCCACAACAAGCAATATTAGCTAGATAGACAGACAGACACAGGGTGATTTTAGTTAGAGGAAATGAGATTTTAAAATATCTCCAAGGAGAGCATTTTATTTCTTTCTGGTGTTGTTATTATTGTTGTTGTTGTCATTAGTATCTGCCAGAAATGCAAGGAAAGCTAGGAAAAAGGACAAGGGGTATGTACTATGGGTCCAAGGGGGAAAAGAGAAGAAAAACATAGGAAAAAATGCTTAGAGGTTTTTAGAAATAAAATTATGACCAGGTCCCATTTGAGTCCTTCGAGCTCACTGTCCCTTATAGGGGTCAAACTCCCAAGGACTTGGGACTCTTCCTTTCCAAATTTCAATCTCAAATTATATTTCAAAGTTTGGCAGAACTGCACAGAAATAAGACTTTGAAGTCAATAATCAATTTGATATATCCATTTTATGCCAGGTTAATTCGTTCCCAACCTCTGTGCTTAATACTCCTATTCTTAAATATCAGCAATTTGGCATTTTATTTCTTCTCTTCATTCTTGTGTTGATTTCTATCTACATTTCAGAAAAGGCTCAGTAACCAACCAAAGTGCTAAGATTGATTTATTGCCCTCTATGTCAATTAGAAGATCCTTGCAGAAAGTATTCTATCAGAACTACTGCTAGGGCAGAGTGAAAGCCTTGACATGCAGACACACACTCACACACATACACACACACACTTTGGAAGAGCAAGGAGAATGCAGCACTGTGTACCACTCTCTGAGAGCCATAATTCAACAAACCTTCTTTCCAAATTAATGAACCCCAATAAAACTCCAAAGTACAAAGCAACAGTGATTACAATAGCAAGAATACTGTCCAAAAGTCACTAATGCCATAGGTGAAGTCAGGCTTCCTTGACAAGAGAAACAAGGTCCTAAGAACCAAACAACATTTAACCAGCAACACTGGTCCTTGACAGGGACCAGAATTCCCTTGAATTTTGTTGGCTGCTACGTCCACCAGTCAGTAAAAGGGATACACACACACACACACACACACACACACACACAGAACCCACAAGCCTGCAGCATGGGGAGCTGGAGTTCAAGAAGATCAGGCACACACACACACACACACACACACACACACACTCACACACATGCGCGCAGCAGAAAAGTTGCCCGAAAGCCCTACCTGAGGATGGCTGTGTCCCCCTGCCTCACGGTGATGTTGTCCGTGCCTCGGTTAAAATCCACGCTGCGAACAGGCAGTCCTGTGGGAAGAAGGCAGAGCAATCTCAGTAGGACCAGCGGCAACTGTTTCCGATCAGGCTGAACTCTCCCGACCATGGTGGCCACGCGGAGTTGTGGGTCCGCCGCGTGCTCCGGAGGGGTGTGTGTGCGCGCTGCTCGCGGAGGAGAGGGCTTTACAAACAGAGGGCTGGCATCGGCCGCGAAGGCAGAACGGGCTTTTCCAGTTTGTGGTCCTTTCCACTTTGCCTCTCTCTTCCCCTCGCTCAGTCTCTTTTCCCTCTAAGACTTAACAAAGCCCTCATAAAGCCCAGGCAGAAGGGGGGAAAAGTCAAAGCAACAAAATTTCAAGACAGAGAGAGAGAGAACAAACATAAAACCCTCTAGAAAAGATGAAGAGAAAGCCACGGGAAGGGGTTCCTGCTCCGTCTCTCGGCGGCTGGATGCTCCTCTCCCAGAGTCTGAGCTGAGCTCCTTCGCTCTGTAACCCACTTTCCCAGGCTGGCGGGAGGCGAGGGAGCCGGCACCAAGCCTGCCAGCGAGTGTAAAGAAACAGCCACACAGCAGCAGCAGCAGCCCAGTCTCTCTCCCCCTCCTGCCTCTCCCGTTTCTCTCCCCAGTCCCTCGCGCGCTCTGCTCGGCGCCTCCCTCCCACCCCGCTGGTTTTCGACAGCCCCTCCACGTCATCCCCTCCTCCCGCCCCTCCGCGTGGCCCCTCGCTTTGCACAACTGCCCCCTTCAGCAGCAGCCAGCCTCAATGAAAGCCTGATGCGCCTTTAGGTTGTCAGGACGACAGCTCCATCTGAGGCCTGGCTATTTCCTTAAGAAGGGGGAATGGAGCTCAGAGGTACTGTTCAAGAGGGAGGGAAGGAGGAGAGGGACCTGTGCTATAAAGGAACAGGAGAAAGAGTCCAGGAAAGCAGAGGGAAAGGGTGAGGAAGGAAAGAAAAGGAGATGGAAAAGAGAGATGCAAACCTTGTCAAATGGAGACTGTAAAACTAGAGGATAGAAAACCATTGCTGTGGGGGTAGAGGGGCAAGTCCTGAAAGATGGGATAAGGAAACAGAGAAGAAACTTGACAGTGGGCTCTAAGATTAAAAGCCAAAGTTCATTTCAAACTAAGCATTCCTGTCAACTGGCTTTTCATGCTCATATCTTGTTCATCCTTTCCTCTCTCCTGCACTTTCTTTTACGGGATTAAAATGGTTTATTTTCTCTCCCTCCTTCATCCCCTCCCCCTCTTGGAACCCCCTTATGAAAGATGGATTGAAGACAATGCTGGTATTGAGTGGTCTGGGGTGTGAATGCTTGGCTTGTTTTATCCAAGTGCCAGCCTCAGCAGCTGATCCATGATCCCTAAATCAACCTCACTCTCCAGGAAACCCTTACTCAATCCCACGAATGAGTAATGGTGTTAAGGATTATTGTTTAAACAGCACATTGTGGTTGCTATACAAGTTACTACTGGATTGCTTCTCAAAATGTTCATATGCAAGGAAGGAGATTTGTATATCAGAAAGCTTGTCATTTATAGGGAAGCACTGAGGCTGCAAACAACACTCCTGTGAATGGCAGAAGGTTACCATCGTTTGTCATTCCTTCTACTCCATGAGCCAAGCGAGTGATAAGGGATTAACGCCGTTAGTCACTCAAGTGAGAGCCCCAAACTCCTAGACATCAGCAGTACTGATGCTGAGGATGAAAGGTGGGTTTGGACTAACCAAGGCATTATTTTCCTCCTTTTACATATAATTTTTTGTGTAATTAAGGCAATTACATGGTACAAAAAACAAATGGTACAAGATGCTATAGAGTAAATTATAGTTTTCTGCTATTCCTATCTTTAGGCAACCCATTTCTCCTGTCTGAAGGCAACAAATATATTTTAGTTTCTTATACATCTTTCCATAAATTCCATACATATGCAAGTAAATATATACATACACATGGAGATATTGTATCCATCCCTCTTAAGCAAATGTTTAGCCAAGGACATTGGTAGAAAAAAAAAAAAACAAACAAGAAATCTGTTTAGGAATCCTTATCAAAGGACACCAGAATACAAGCCCTAAGGAAACACAGTAGTGACACTTGTCCCCAGAATATTCAAAGGATTTCTTTGCTCCATTTTATCAGTTTAAAAGGTAAATGAACTCTGACAGATTATGTGAGGAAAGAAAGGAATACCTTTTGTTTTTAATAAATGACTGAAGATTGTGCATATATAGTAGTAACATTCATCGGGTGCCGGGCACTTGGGATGGGGAAGGAGAGGATGGGTATATACACACATAATGGGTGTAGTGTACACCATCTGCGGAATGGACACGCCTGAAGCTCTGACTCTGGTGGGGGAAGGGCAATATACGTAACCTAAACATTTGTACCCCCATAATATGCTGAAATAAAAAAAAATAAATGACTGAAGAATTGGGATCTGAATTGTCATAAATTCATGATTGATGGAGTTCAATTAATTTTGTTTATACCATGTATTCATTTTTTATAAATCAAGGCTTCCTGTGTCAGGGCCTAAAAGAAGTCCCCAGCTAATAAGCTAACGATATTTAGCCACTAAGTTATAACTCAGCTGTTATAACTCCTGCTTTGCCACAGGAAAACAGTTAGATCAACAGTGGTTAGTTGAACTACAAAATTCATAATCCTGTGATTTCCAATATCAATGGGAAAATGTGTTTCAAGTGCCAAAAGGAGATGCAAGGATATATAATCCTCTGCCAAGACTGCAGAGAAAAGAACACCCTCTCCCTTTCCCCAACCACCAACAAATTTGACTTTCCTTGGCTTCTTCTAAATCTCTTAGGAACAAAGGGGTAACACAAACAAAGGCTTAGACATAGCATATGTTCTTTGATTGGGTAGTATTTCTCCAATGTCAGGAAGAAGAAAAGAAAGACACAAGGGACCGGAAGCTACTAGAATCATTCTAGTAGACCTCCATCAATCACGAACTCCATCATTGGTGATAGGTGAATACCATGACCTCAATAAGATCTTTGATACTATGAGGGAAAAGATTAGGCATATTAAGAGTATGAGTATCCTCTTGTGCCAGGGGACTAGATTTTGTATGAAGAATGGAAGAAGTTCTTTCAGGACAAGGAGAAAGTGTGATGGGGTGGTAGCATATTATTTATAGAAGATGTTAATACATGATTGTTAACTAATACCTACACTGGTAATCTCAAACTACTGATAGAACTTGACTGGTGGTGCTTGGAGGACCCATATGCTTAAAATACTGGGGTACAGAATAATTCACATCAAAATAGTAGGAATGTGGAATTTTTAATAAATCAATCAAATCTGGAGTTTGTCTCTATAATCTCTCTGAGAGAAAGATATACTGAGTTAATCAGATTGTAAACAGAAGCAGAATCAGAATTGTAATAGAAATGCCTAACTTGTCTAACAAGATAAAATCATAGGCACATATGGACACTCTTAAAGCTCTGACTTGGGTGAGGTAAGGGCAATATACATAACCTAAACATTTATACCCCCGTAACATGCTGAAATAAAAAACAATTTTAAAATTTATATAATGCAATGAAAAGTTTTAAAAATATCTTCATTAAATAAAGTCCATTTCTTGGCACTTTTTAAAAACTAAATTGACTTACCATGAGAACTGAAAGTAAAATACAGTTTAAAAAAAAAAAAGAAAAAATGACCACAGTTTTAAAAGTCTCTACTTTAGGCTGTTCAGTCAATCCTTCCTAATTCAATTGGACTGAATCTCTCAACAATTTCCAACTTATGTAGTTTATTATATCAATTAATTATTTAATAGTTATTATTTGCATCCAGGTAGCACTTGAAGTACAACTCTCTAACTCAGCCTTTGGCCCAGAGGGAGTACTCTATACCTGATGAATGCAAGAGTGATTGCTCAAGTCCACTCACTTGCCTTACCTCACTATTTACAGAATAATAACTGTATTTGTGGGTGTATCATCTACTTCTATTTCAACATTATGCTGTCTCAGCGTTCTTCCCCTTTTACTCCCTCATTGAATCCTTCTGTTTTTTTCTCCTCATGATCTCTTGCTTTCTGATAAATCCAATAGACAATATACATCAGATAACATATCTCATCCTAATGGCCACTCCCCCAAATCTACCCTGATATTAGCTCCTCTGCTTGCTTTCATAAGAAATATAGAGAAAGAAACAAATACATGAGTTGCTGAAATTTATATAAGCTGTTTTTCTGTAAACCACTATATACATTCTTCCAAGAGGGTTGGCAAAAATGAACATACTTTCGGGTTATTTGTGAGGCAAGTATGGCTGTTAGGCTTGTGAAACAGCCATCATCACCCAAGTAAGATGATCTTAACTACTACTTTAAAATAACATACTGCCTTTCTAAAAGAGGCTTTAGAAGATTCTGGCACTCTCCAGGGACAAATGCTGCAGGAAAAACAAAAACTGGCTAACGTCTGCGAACCCTAAGAAGCATGAAAGGTTTATTCTTCTGTTTAGCTTTGTAAGGTAATAGGCTCACATGAAATCCAGATGCAGCCTGAAATGCACAACTAATTTAGCTACATTGCTGGTGTTTTATGCTAAACATGTCTATAATATTAATATACTACTCTACATTTCTACAGTTGTAAGGTCTTAATCATAATAACACCATGCCTGTACTTTACTTTCATAAGTGGAATTAGCATTTCTATATGAACTAGAACTGCACAATTGTTCATACTTCTCCTTAGGACTCCTGGTATGACATTCTCAATGATTTCATGACAATTCAGCAATATTCCAGTATCTCAGTTTATGCTCATAAGCATAGCCCTATCTCTTGTGAGTTTTCTCTGCAATCTGGCTCCTTCAAATACAGAAATTTCATTCACATGTGTCTCACTGCCTCACAAAAATCAGTCAGCTTCAAGTCAGTTAAATATTGCCCAAATTCTTACTATGGATCACCCCCACCCTGTAATGTAACACACTCAGTCCATACCCTGCACAATTAAAATTACTCTCCATTTGCTTTTAGTGTGTGCCCTTGTGGTTCATTATTACCATATCGGTCTTCTGCTTCTAAGTAAGTATCCTTGGTCAATTGTTCTATTTTGATAAGCATCAATTCTTGGATTTGTCCCAGTTTTCACAAGGTCTTTGAGATTCTTGAGCTGCTACTTGCATCCTCTTTCCTTGCTTCGGTTCCTCATTACCCATAAACACACACCTATAACACCCGTTGATGCCTTTGTTTGCCAGCAAACTTACTCCCATATGCTTTATTATTTCACATACATGTACTCACTAGCCCATCAACCCTCCATTTTTTCTAGGTTGTCCACTCTGCCATCATGTACAAGGAATTGGCAATGACCAAGTAAAGCTGTATCTGCATTGCTGCTGCTCTTTTTTGATCTACCCCTCATTTATGGGAAGAGCATTGTAACATTTGGAAAGATGGCTGTGGCAGCATCTTCAGTATAGTAAGGTGTTAGTACAAGCAGGTAATTAAGCAATTCTACCATCTCTTTGTATTATTGTAGTCACTTGGATTTCCACAATCAGAAAATAGGCCAAGGACAAATGACGAAGAGTAGAGTAGAGAGAGCAGAGACAGGTGTGCAATTTCAT